TTCTGTCCCAACTTGCTGTTACTCATCTCTGATCTCTAATCATCCACCACGTCCTGCAGGTTCCACAGGACAGAGCTCTGTGGCTACCTACTCCACCAGCTGTCCACCTGAAGTGGCATTTCTCTGGCCTGGACTGACCTGTCTCGATTATTCTCTTATGCTTCATTTCAATCACATTTCTTGCAGAAACTCACAGTTTCAACTTACAAAAGTAGATCTGATTATTTTCCCTTGGTTGAGTGGTTTTATACTCTTTTTATGACAAAAATTCCAAAGTAATAAACTTGGCCTCCAGGGCTCTATACAATGGCCTGGCATTTGCAAGACTCTGCTCCCTTTTTTTAAGTGGACTCTGGCCTGTTGGCCTCCCAGCAAAGCCAGGCACAGCTCATGTTCCTTAGCACGTATTTCTCTCCTACTACTGCAGCCACAAAGAAAGAAATGACCACTTGGTGACTCTCTGCTCAATGCCCACCTCCCTCAAAGGCTCAACCTTTACAAAAGCAGACTGTACTTCTAGTGTCCAGCATGTGCCTTCACAGCAGAGGTGCTCACTAAAAATGTATCTGTTGAATGGCTGCCTTAAAAACACATTAAAAAGATCAGCTTTGATTCTACCTTTCACTCTTAAAAAACAAATGAACCTAATGTTCTTGAAAGTCTAAGTCACTCTTAATTAATCACTAAAGGTGTATAGGGAGTTCGGATCTCTATAGTTCTGTTTTGTGCCTTCATGTTCCATTATTAAGGGCTAATAAGACATAGGCAGTATTCCTTTTAAATGTTTTCAGGCAATGAAACAAAACCAGTACTTTTTTAAGGTTACAACTCATTATTTTAATAACTGAACAGCATTATTATGACCTTCAAGGGCACTTAAGGGAACTTTAGTGGTTTGAAAAACTTAGCCCAATTCTCTGAAAAATAAAATTTATGTGGTGAAGCAGGCTGGTTGTTGCTCTTGAGATCAGTTTGACCCATTCCTGAAACTTCAAGATATTGCTCAAAATGAAAGCATAGAAATCTCTCAGCAAGTTAAAAAAATATATAAATCACTAATATCATTTCAAAGTTCTTGAGTAGAATATAATATCACCGCACATCTGCTCAAAATGAGACAGATGAAAAGAGTAGGAATCACAACACCTCCAAGGACCCAGCTTTGCTGGGTGACACTATGATGCAGAATGACACAAGTTGTATATGTCTACCTAAGGAACAGAAATTCTTATGGAACCGAATAAAACCAGAAGTTTTCTGGGTATTTTTCTTATTATTGATGACCTTTCCTTAGTTGAGTCTAATCATGCTCTTGGAACTTGGCTATAAATTGTACTTTATCTCTCATCAAAACCTGAGCCAAGTCCCTACCATTTAATTGGCCAGAAGCCATGTGCTTTTCATAAAGCTGATAAATGACTATGTTCAGTGTGTAGTTAAAGTCCTCTAAGAATATGCAGTCACTGATTAGAACCCAGCAAATCCACGTGGTTACCCGTAAATAGCAAAAGATTCACAGGGATTCCTTAGAAACCCTCCAGGGGGAGGTGACATCTGCCATCGCCAAATACAAAAGCTACAACCTACACAGTCCTGTGTTACCAAAGGGTGGCGGGGGTGGGGAGCTTTAACCGGAAGCAAGAATGCATTTGCCAGGCTGCCTATAAAAGTCCATATGACTTTCAAAGAAGCTAAATTTTCAGGCTGAAGAGGCTGAAGTAGAGCTTTAACTACTTCTAGGTGCCCATGCAGCCCACAGTTTCACTAGGGCACTAGAAACATGAGTGGTCACCCACCAGAAGCTGGTGGCAGACATGGCTGGGGCTTAGCAGCAGGAGCACACAGGCAGGAATCTCTGGTGGCCGATACTGCTGTTACTCAGGGGTTCAGAATTTACAGCCATCCGTGTATTCAGTATTTTGTTTTCCTTCTCTAAGAAGCTCTAGAGCAAGAGAGGAGATCTAAAGATAAAGCCGGTATGATCAGCTGGTATAATGTCCAGCATTCCTGCTTCTGCTGAGAAGACAGGTTTAACAATCAATGTCACGCCAGGCAGAGGGTCCATGTTCTTATGTACACACACACACCCCTTCTGTGCAAGCCCAGACTTACAGAGTGTCTCTGTGAACACCTGCGCCTCTCAGAGCTGCACTCTGACTTGCATCCATGAAGCTCCAGTAGTTGCCACAAGAGAAGAGACACAAAGGAGGTCTCACAGGAGCCCTGAGCAAGAGCAGAGAGACCAATCCTGGCTCAAAGCCGAGCTCCTGCTGGGCACAGCTTCTCTGTCTTGTACAGGAACCTTTAAATGTTCAGGGTAAAAAACCACAGAGGCACAGGCCAGGTGAAAAATACAGAAAACCATGCAGGCTATGGATCATCCACAGAAAAGATAGGACACAGGCTGTGGCTTGGTGCTTAGACTCTGCAGTCTGATTCCCTGGATTTGAAACCTGGTTTCTTCTAGAGCTGGATGATCTTAGCAAGTTATTAACCTCCCTAAGACTCAGCTGCATTATCTTTAGACTGGGGATGATTATGAGGATTAAGAAAGACAATTAATATAACACACTAAATGTAGTATCTGTCATGGTTTGTGCTTCATAATCATCAGAAATTGTTCTAGTAACTTGATGAATAAACATACGGAACTCAAGAAATCATACCAGGCATGAGCAAACAGAAATCTAAAAAATAAAAGCAGAACAAAACAAGGCACCTTCTGAAAGGACTACCTTAATTGGAGATTAATTGGAGATTAGGTCCAAGGGCCAACAGTTTGTATGTTATTAAAAAAATGAAATTCACATGATTGCATGTACATATACATATACATGCAAATATGCATTCTTGAGAATTTTAAATGTTTTATGGGATGACAGAGAATTTTCTAGAGTTAAATGATAAGTGTCTTCAATCTGAGACTATGTGTAAGGAATGAGCAGCCAGATGAGGAAAGGTTTCCAGGCTATGATGCTCCACTGAGTAGGGGTGCTAGAGGGAAGGAACTGCCACCAGAAAACAAAGCAGAAAAGGCAGGGATCTGAGGGCAGTACCTAAGAGGGTTCCGTCGGTGGTGTGAAGGAGTGGGCTCCATGGTCCTCGGGAGACCTGAGAGCCTAAAGAAAATGGTGCAGCCACTGATGAAGGCCTGGACAAAAGGCAACAAGTTGCCAACCAGAGCACAGGTGCAAGAACTCGCTGAGGATTTCCATTTGTGTCTGGGAGGTAACCTGAGGTCATGCATTCACCTCCAATTTCTACACTTTGCACACCACTCCAGAGAGCAGCCAGACAGAACAGACACCCACACCTATTTTACCCCACCTCTGTCTGCTTCTTAGATGGTTTCTGCCCTAAAGCACCATAGTGCCTCTGTGTATGATGTTAGGGTAACTCAGAATGTAAGATAACAAGTGGACTTCGCGCTTTTCACGTGCTGAGCATTCTTTACACCAACAATATTATAAGATTAGAGTGGAAAGTGCTTTACTTGCTATTACTGTCTGCAGAAGCCTCAAGGTCCAATTCTGAGGACCACAGTCCAGGACTTTGATTATCTACCTGCATTGTCTTGGGAAAGGCCTGCATGAACACCAGGATCAGGGTGTGCAGGACGTAAATCCATACCTTGAACTTTACTAGCCTTCCAATGTGGAACTAATTACTTCCCCTTAACCTCAGTTTCTCATATGTTAAATAGGGACTATATGTTTTTTGCATAAGAAAGTCAGATGTACACAAAGAGATAATGGTATCTGAGATACTGAATATAAGCAAAGCACCCTTTCTGGTAGTTGGCACTCAGAAATCACTCAATAATCACTCAGTGATTGCAGCTGTTGGGTATTACTGTTGCTGTGCTGAAGCTAATATTCCAGGAACATAATGAGGTTGATGGAATTTATTGCAAAGGAGAACTGAGGCCCTTGCTGATTTCAACTAGGGAGGCTGGACCTTGATGTATTATTTAAAAAACAATCTGCTCCTGGTACATGCAATTCACCACTCTCTAATTCTCAGCAGCCACCTGACAAAGCAAGGGAATTGCTATAAACACATTAAATGAAGAGAAAGCTGGTGTTTGGGTGACCAGTGAAATAACCACCCCATTACTGAGCAGTTAGTGAACCTCAAATTTGTCGTCCAATTTTCCAATAGCTAAGCATGCTCAGCCTCTTAGTTGTCTAGAGGCTGTGATTTATTTGGCGGATTATGGAGGCCTCCCAGATGTGGGTAAGAGTCTGGGAAACAGGCTTGAACAAATGTCTGTGAAGCCACACAGGACATGCCATACAAGAACTGGCTGCCAGTGTGGTTTCCCACAGATGTGAGCAGTGTCTGCTGCTGACGGCTGGTCTTGCCCATCAGCTAGAGGAGGGGCCGTGGATACAAAGGTGTGTCTGTGGAAGAACTTGTGAAAGGGTATGCCCGGTGTTTAGAGGAATGTCAGCAGGCTTAAGACCTGAGTGTCATCTCTCAACTATTGACTCACTAATTCAAAAATTAATTATCCATCCACAAATATTTACCAGCCATCTACTATGTGCTAGATATTATGTTAGGTACAAGTGATATGCCTAGTAATAAGAGAGAAAGTCTTGCACCCTCATGGAGCTTGCATTCTAGTGGGGAGAGAAAGGCAATGGTTTTGAAGGTGGTCAGAGCTACGTAAAAATAATAAAGCAGGAAAGGGCAATAGAATGTGGCAGAGAAAGAGTGAGGGATGCAGTTTTAAGTGGTCTAGTCAGGGAAGACATGAGAAAGTCACATGTGAGCCAGGCTTGGCTGAGGGGTGGAGGCTTTGGCTGCAATACTGCAATGACCTTGAGCCACAGAAGATGAGGGGACGCTCATCTGTAAGAACATTCGGACCTCATCTTCCTTGGAAGTCAAGGAGTGTGAGCCTTGTCCTAGAAGGTACAATCTGAGCCCACCATGGATGCCCTGGGCGTAGCCACACAGGGAGGTGGGGTGCAAGGTGCCCTGTGTGGCCTCACCTCCTCCAGCCGCCTCCGCTGCTCCTTCTGCTCCTCAATGCGCTTCTGGCGCTCGGCCAGCAGCTGCCTCTTATGTTCCTCGTTCTCCCGCTGCTGCTGCTCCAGCTGCTGCCTCCGCAGGGCCTCTGAACGCTCCTTGTTGGCCAGCTGGAGTCTCAGGAAGTCCCGCCGTAGTGTAGACTCTCCAGGCAGGTTCAGGATGGAGCTGTGGGTAGGAAAGAGTGATTAGGGCTGGGGCCAAGGCTATTGTGAGTTCCGAGTTCCCTGTTAGTTCAGTCATTCAGCCTCAAGGGAAAACAGGGTCAGGGGAAAGGTGGGTGTTCAGCCTCCCCTTGTGTAGGATTGTGGCATACACTGTCTGGAGGGATGTTACATTCCCAGAGCCATCCCTTTCTCCAGGACAGATGCTTCACCCCCTCACCTTTGCGGATTGCAAAGATTTGTTTCTTAAGATTTTAGTGAGTTCCCCGGGCCAGCTTATATTCACAGGTAAGAATGGCAAGCAAAGAAAAAGAAGCACACATGGGCCAATTCTGCTTGGACCAGCAGAGATCAGCCTTGCACACATCCCTCCTTGACCGCTTGCACCAAACCCCAGGAAGAGGAGATCAGGCTGCTCTGTGCAGACGTGTAAGTCAGGGAGGGGAAAGGCTGGAGTCAAGGCTGACACAGAGCCAGGATCTGAGCCAAGTTTGCTAAGTCCAAGGAGACCAGAGCTTAGCTCAGTGCACCACAGGTAATGAACTGGTTCCTGGTGGGGTGTGGCTAGTACTGCAGCCCAGCTCACTGATTCCTAGATCTCCTTCAACAGCAGTTTCTCCATGTGTAAAGTGTGTGTGTGTGTGTGTGTGTGTGTGTGTGTGTGTGTGTGTGTACCAAATAGAAAACATCTTTCCAGATAGTCTAGGGCTGCCCTACACCAATCTAACTGTAGATGAGCTAAAAGTGATAGACTTCTTGGTTCCACATAGCTGTGTAACAGGGAGGATTATTCAAACCCAGTTGCTTTAATCTTTCTGGAAGATTTAACTTTTCATCTGAAATAAATTCACTGAACATATATTTACTGGCATCTGCTACGTGACAGGCTATAGGATACTGCTGCAACCACATAACAAATTCTTTCTCCATAATTACTTTCTTGTGGGGGAGAAAGATAATTACAAATAATAAAATTTCAATACTAATATGTCCCACATAAGGCGAACAGGGTGAAATTTAAACAGTGACAATGACAGGGAGCTCAGGTGAGAATTAAGCATTCCACTTTGACTGAGTGGCCTTCCATTTGGGAAAGGATGATGGGGGGAAGGATGTTCCAGGCAAAGGAAAAGCAAGCTTAGAGATCATCCCAAACAGGAGTAGCCTTTTCCAGGGAGCCTGTCCTCCCACAGCAGAGGGAATGAAAGGGCACAGAGCCGAAGCAGAGGTCAGGAAGACAGGTGGGTGGGAACGCACATGGCCATGAATGAGCAGGAAAGGCTCCCAGGGAAGAGCCCTGCGAGCAGGTGTGGTTGGCAGTGGAGCGGACCACAGTCTGCAAGGGCAATGGCAGGTGGAGCTGACAGGCGACACCACTGACTAGAGCTTTTAACCAGGACTGGAGCAGTAAGGATGAAGGCTGGAAGAAGCTCATAGGGACAGAGTTGGTGAAGCCTGTGCAGAGAGCTGACACCTGGCCTGAGGGATGACTTGCAGTTGGGTGACGGTGGTGAAGAGGAATAGGAATGCAGGAGGAGAGGCCAGCTTTGTGGCATGGATGGGAAGATCAAGTTAGGTTTTGGAGAGCTGCCAGTATGCAGCACATGATGCTGCCACAAGAAGAAACAAAAAGCTTTGCTCCTGACACTAAACAAATGATCTTGGAAGTCTACTAAGAAGCCTCCTCTAAAACTTACTGGCTGTGTGTAAAACTCTGAAACCATGCCCACATGGTGATGCTTACACACAGGCCATCTGCTCTGGGAAGGGTGAGGGTTGGGGACATAACCTCACATGCCCGCCAGGATCCCCTGTGAACATAATGATGCTGAATCAGTTTCAGGAGATCTGAGCCATATCAGCGACCCGATTATTAACTCTGTGTGACCTTCTTGCCACTCTTGTTGCCTTCTTTCCAACATGAGACAACCACAGTCCTTTTCTTCTTTTTAGGATTTCATGAGGAGTAATTAGCTTTGTCTATAAAAACAGGAGTGGACATACAATCTTCCCTGTGATATAATGACACACTATAATTATAGCTGGGCTGGTTCACTAAGTGACTCCCAGCACCAGTTTAGCAAGTATTGGAAAGACATGGTTTCTCATTTGTCCAGAAATGGTCAAAGGGCTGGCATGGCCATCTGGGTGAGTTTTCAAAAAATAGCACACAACTTCTCTAAAAGAGCAGCTGGTCCTCTGCCATACAGAAAAGTTCACTTTCCATGTCATTGCTTAATAGTCTTCATCTTTATGCAGCTAATGGGGGTGGGGGATGCAACATGCTATTATCAGACAGAAGGAATACATTTTCCTTTAGTCTTTCATCTTGAGAAATTCTACGATAGGTGAAGAGAGAAAAACCAATGGCTCCATAAGTTCAGTGCAACCCCTTTTGAGAGCTTAGCAAGAATACATTTCAATAGGTCTGAGCTGGCTTAAGAAGAGAGTAACACATGCTGTGTAGCTCAGTCCAGCATCTCTGATCAGAAAGCTCTGGGACAGCGACAGGGCAAAGGAACTTCTCTTGTCACAGTGGGGTTCAATCCTCAGACGGCTGGACGGAGGGGAGCCATACAGCCCAAGGACCCTCCTGCTTCTGTGTTTCCTCTGATAAACTCGACTTCACATTTATTGCATGGCCACTGGGACGTGTGCCTGTGCCTCTTCACTCACCAAGCTCGTGCCAGCTGAATTTTCTTACAAAAGAGAAATCCTGGCAGTGGAGCACTCCAACCTTAATTATTTATAAACACAGGCTGGAAGAAATTTGGGATCAAAATAAAATTAAATTCAAGATGCAGGGGTGACTGCAGTAAAGCAGTGCTTGATTCCGGATCCCATGTGACAACAGGAAAGGCAAGGTTTCTATTTCAGGTTCTCCTGCAAGTGTAACTTGATTTCCTGGAACTCATTTCCTCCTGGATCAGACTGCCCTGAAAGTACCAAGGTATATAACAAGGAGAGTCTGTGAAAGGGTTTCTAAAAGGTATGAAGTGAAGAAGGAGCCAAAGAACTCAAGTCTAAAAATATCACATAGGTCTCCAAAAAGCCACAATTTTAAGTGCTTTTCATCCTGCATTGCCCAGATAAGTGCCTTCTACCAACTTTACATGTTACATATATGAGAAAATGAGGTCTACCGAAGAGACCATAAATCTTGAGAATAAGAAAAAGAACATGCTGATTTCCACATTTTCCTAAGACCTTGCCTAGGGAAAATTTCTAAAACTAATGAATATGTTTGTGGGCAATAAATTAAATAAGACCACCCTGGTGGATTCTTTAAAATGAACCTATAAATCAAAAGGAAAATGAATTTCATACAAGCACAGTTCAGAATGTGAAAATGAGAAGGCTCCGCTCTCTTGCTCATACCTGGGCTCTCCAGAGTCGTTCTCCTCCTCCTCTTCCTCACTTCCACTGTACTCATACTCAGTCTCATCTAAGGAGAGACCAAAAATATGTTAATGCAGGAAAGCAGTGTTACAGCTCAGAAAAGTCCATCCTGACCCCCTATGTCTTCATGAGCTACAGAATGAAGTTTTGGTCAACAATGGACCACATATATGGCAGTGATCCTCAAAGTTTACAACGCAGCTGAAAAACTCTTATTGCCCATTGACACTGTAGCTGCCCTAATTTCCTAGCATAATAAACTACTCATCTGCTTGTGCTGAGGCTGCTGAAAACAAACATGCTATGCTGCCGGTTTCATGAAAGTACAGGACATAGATATAAATGGTACATAATATTGATAATAGTAATAAATAAGCGTAATTGATTTATATATTTACTATACTTTTAATCACTATTTTAGAGCATATTTTGTATTTTAAAAAACAGTTTACTATAAAAGCGTGCGCTGGCCTTGGGTGTTAACTCAGTGGTAGAGCACTTGCCTAGTATGTACATGTGGGTTTGATTCTCAGAACTAAAAAGTAAAAACAAATCAAATGATATGCTGTGTATGGTATTTATTTATTCTTACAGTATCTCTTGATTGCATCAAGGGGACATACCAGGAGACTGACCTATGTGAGCTAAGTTTGTGTAAGAACACTCTATGATGTTCACACAGTGACAAAATTGCCTAACAGCATGATTCTCTGAACCTATCCCTGTCGTTAAGCAATGCATGACTGTACAAGTAAGCTGAGGATGAGTGCTGTGGTTCACCCTGAGCTGGGATGGATTCCTGGCTTCATGATTACAAGTCAGCAGTTTCCACCAGTGGATTAAGCACACAGAATTAACTGCATTCAAGACTGTCCCAGCTAACTCTAGATATCTGTTCCTCACTTATCCAAATGCTTACATTAAAAAGAAATCAAGGAATAGCTCTTTCTATTTATGTCAATCCATTTGTCATGATTTATGTAGGTGGCCCCAAGCCTCATTGCAATTATGGTTGCAACCAAATCTAGCATTTGTGATTGGCTTGTTTTCTAGCAGTCCGATTGGTGGTGTGAGTGTTTCACCCACCCAGGGTGGAGCCAGAGTATGATGTAATGGCGGAAAGAAGGCATGTCTCTCTCTCTCTTGCCGGTTCATGCCTTGCTGTTTGCAGCAGCCATGAATAGCTGTTCTGGGCCTAACCTGCCGCCCACACTGTCTCTCACCAGCTCCCCTCCTACTCAGCAAGACCTCACTGCTGATTTTCTCCACTTCTCTCCTCTACACCCAGTCTTCCCGCCTCCCTACTTCCCTTTCAGCTGGTTACAAAATAATCCCTGCTCTAGACCACGCGCTTTCCCCTTGGCTAGGGTGCAAGTGCAGGAACTGTGAGCTGCATTTAAACAGCCGGGTCACAGGCATATCTGAGCTCGCATCTCTTCCAATGATGAAGGGAAAACACTGTGCAATGTGAGAGAGGAGGTTTTGCATCTATAAAATAAAGAAGTACATTAGATGACCTTCAGCTCAACATCTGATGTTCCATACAGCAACCTAATGATTTTTTTATATCACTGCAACTATAAGAAAATTCTTTCTGACTTCTAAAAACTGATTTAGAAATGAGTCTCAGAGCACAGAAACTTAAAGATTGAAAATTGTCAGGACAGAAAAATGTCAACCAGCTGAATTTTTTTTTAGGTCTGTCTTCTGTACATTTTTACTCTTCTAAACATGAATATTCACTTGAATTAAGAAAATCACTTGTCATGTTAAAATGCATCATAGCATGAAGCAAAACGATTTTGTTCAGTGACTAGAAGAGATAATGTTTCCTGTAGTTCTGGTTTTTTTTTTCATGGAAGATTCCATTTGAAGGAGTAGGGTTTCACTCCACTGATGACCAAAGGCTGAGATCTCCTAGGCGGCCCTTCACACTAAAGACCAACACAGACCCCTTTGAAGCCTCCACAGTCACTTCAAATACATAAAGAGCCATGGTCATTCCATATCTTGGTTCTCTCACTGAAATAAAAATATGCATCTAACCTTTTTCTCCTCTTTTCTTCTTTGTTCTATCAATATGGTCCTTGAGTTGAATGCGGACCTGGCGCTCGTTCGGTTGGTCTCGTATAAATGGATGCTTCATCAGTTGCTCTGTTGCCGGTCGCTGGCTGTGATTCTTTACCAAGCAGCTCTCAATAAATGACTGGAATTTTTTTGACCTGTGAAAAAAAGGAGATGAATCCACAGATAAATCCACAACTAAATATAGATATGTATGTATATAAAGGTCTTGTCAGTCATTATAGAGACCAGCCAATCCCAAATAGGTGTCGCACTGTATTAGGGACAACAGGGGTCAAAGCCATCATGACCATTCACACAGAAATTCGGTAGCAGATGATAGTTATGCACACGAAAGCATTCCCACACAGGGTATATGTAACTTTGCAGAGAAAACAAAAGGATCAAGAGAAGAAAAAGATCTCTGTGGGAATCATATTTGGAATGACAGAAACAGAGATGGATCTTGAAATATTAGGAGAAAACCACTCGGGGGGAAAGGACAGTTAGGTTGGTAAGGAAACACTGAAAAACTAAGGCTATAAGGGAGCATATGATAGTGCGGGGGACACTGAGCTGCCTAACGGAGACAGAAAACAAAAGTGAGATGAAAGTAAACTCACAGTGGGAGGGAGGAGGGGGGTGCAGCTGGAGAAATGAGCAAGACTCTTACAAAGGCAAAGTGAACATTGATTTAGACACATTTTTAAACCAGTAACTTCAAAATCTCTTTTAAACTTCACTTTCCAGTTCTTAAGAAGAGCGTGTGTGTGCACTTTTGCAAGGACTCAAGGACTTGGAAGTTTAACTTTACAAAACTAAGTCACACCCATAAACCTATTCATCTCCCTCTGGAAAGGCCCTGTCACCTCCAAGATAAAGCCAGTGCCAGAGACACACACTGGACAGAGGTGCTACACCAAAGCATGGCAGCAAGCCCACGTGTGGGAGAAATAAACAAATGGTGGACTTCAGCCTTGATTCATGAATTGGGCATGTGTGTTCTTGCTGCAAGTTCCAATAAATTACAGTCATAAAGCTCACGACACTGTCTGTCCAGGTTACTCCACTGACAGCTTGGCACCTCATCCCAGGAGACCTTGGTGGAGCTCTGCTCACCCTGGCCACCTTGCCCAGAGCTGGAGACTGGTTTGTGCTCTGCAGAGCTCTTTATTACCCTCCTGTGGTGCGCTGTGTATCCAAATGCAAAGCCCCCCAGTTTCCCTGCGTATTTAATCCTGAGGTGTCCTCACCATGGAGAACACAGTGCAAAGCCCAACACGAAATGGCACTCATTTATGTGCTACTCTGTATTAGTGCCTGAAGAGCAGTTTCGCAGCTTATTTCATGTTTTTGAAGTACTAGTGTATGAGTATGTTTTCCTAAGCGTCTGTGATATGTTTAAGCCTTTTAAACAGAGAAGTAAAAGTAATATCCCGTGCATGGGCTCAAGAATGAAACAGAACTGGACACACTGGACTAGTGACAACAAGATGGCTTCTTTGGATCTGCTTACTAAGTCCTTCTGCCCATGTACCTGCTCAGTCCACACTAGTTCTCTGCAATGTCAGGATGTACCCGAGTCACTTTTGCATTGTGAACATTCCACCTGCTCTATGTGTTTGATGAATGAATTCATGCATTGTGCAAGGGCTATAATAAGGCTACCTGCAAACCTGTGTTTGTTTGTGAGTAATAGAAAGGGAGGCCTGGAGGGCAGAGTCAACATTCTCTGGTCGATGGAATAAATCTATGCAGGCATAAGTACCATTCCATCTAAAGAGAGACCTTCCAAGAAAAACACAATGCAATAATGGACTCTCCTAAGGAATAAACAAAGAGAATGAGGTTAATGTGCAGAAAGAAATAGGCACGGGGCTTTTCTAGGTAGGAAAACGAGTATGAAAAAGATGAAAACAAAAACATAAGACAGAAAGTTATTAAATATTCATGAGGGATGCAAACAGCAATTCTCTCTTTCTTGCTGGCAACCAGAAGGAAGTGCTTGATTTTTTTTATAAAGTGCTTCACTATTAATTAGAAGATGATAAATAAAAGAACTCACATCCAATTTAAAAAATGAGATCCAGACCTAATAGACTGTACATTCCATTCCTCAACACTGACATCTAAAAAAAGCCTGAGAAATATCTGGTCTTCATGAAGAATGATGTTCAAGGCGTTTAGGAAAAAACTACCAGAGTGGCTTTTCCAGAGACCTCCTGGGGCTGGGGTTGGGCTCAAGAGAGTGATGAGAACGCCTTCAGTCCAGAAGAATGGGCAACCATGCAGACTTATAAACCGGTGACACACTTCATGCCTTCTTCAAATGGCATCATTGAAGAGACAAAAAGGCTTACTAAAACTCCTCTTCAAAGAAGGATTCATTGTCTCTCATTTAAGTTAGTGTGATCAGAGAATCAATATGCTTCATTGCATACTTAATTAAAAGTGCAAACATTTTACCTATGTTGAATAGTACCTGTTTGCTAAGAGTTCTAGTGAGTTTAAAATACATTTATATAATTTTATTGCCGTTGGTAACTTAGTTCTGCCTTATAAAAAATAACCTAGAAGTAGAAGGTTGGTAATACTAATTTCCCAAGAGTTGGTATGAAGAGATTAATGCTAATATTTAGTGCCCACTGTAAGACACAAGTTGTACTGCCCGCCTCACTAAGCACTTTATCTTCTCAGGTTTATTGTGTTTATACATTAAATTATGTTAGAAATTCAAAAATGCCTCAATGATGATATTAACCATTTTAAATAAGTTGGAATGAATGTTTTTTGGTAATAATGCAATTTGAACTTTAAAATTTGCAGTGACCTCACCTTATTCCCCAGAACTACCCTGTTGATCTATCTACTTTAGGCTCCACCGCTTGCCAACTGTGTGGATTTTGGCATGACAATAAATTCTCTGTGCATCTTTCCCTACCTACAAACAGGGATCTTATTAGTATCTATCTCATGACATGATGATGAAATTAGTTATTTCACGGCATCTTCTTAGAACGGTGCCTGGTAGCGTATACGCTATATGTGTACTTTCTACTGCTGTCACCATTATTACTATTACTATGACAACACCATCCAGCACCCTCTGATTAATACCAGGCTTGCAAAACAGAGCATCTGCTTTTAGGACCAGGAAGCAGAAATTGGAGGTTGTTTCTCCCCCGACTTCTGTTGAGCTACATGAGCATAGTTACAGCCGATTACTGACAGGGACACATTCCAAGAACTGTGCTGTTAGGTGACTCACTGAGTGAATGTCACACATTGTACCAAATGCACTAAGATGGCTATGACATCAGTAGGGTATTCAAACTCACAGAATCAGAATCATTGTCCTATGGGAGACCTATGGCTGAGCAAAATGTCACTGTGCAGTGTACGAAGGTACGGCAGTTTTAAAGGGAACTGTTTTACATATAAGACTATCAGATAAGCTACCACCAGGAGAGTTCACAGAGCTGTTATCTCCAAGGAGACCTCACAAAAAAGCTGTTTTAAAAGTTTGGGTGGCAGCTTTTGTTTTGATTTTTCATAAAGTTCATAGTTGGACTACATTTAGGAAACTCAGTATGGGAGTATTTTATGGTACTTGCTTTGTTTTGTCATTCTTCAGCACATACACATAATGCACACACAGATAAGAGCTTTGTCAGAGCCCAAGACAAAAGTTCATGACAACCCAGCAGAAGACAAAACTAGAGCTATGTAAATAACAGGGATGACTGTGAGCTCTGCAGAAAAAAACAGGTGACCAGGCTCCAGACTGCTCCTCCTGGTGAGGAGCCCAGGACCCTGCCTGGCCAGCCTCTCAGCCTCGAGAAACGCCATGTCTGCATCTGGAACATGTGCAAGTGGGTTGAAACAGGTGATAACAAGCAGTTATGCTTTTCCTAATGCTCTCAACTGGGGCTGCCTTGCCTCTGTGACTCTTCAGATTTAAAGGCCACATAAAAAGAACAAGACCAGCAGCATCACCCTGTCTTCCAGAAGCCAGAGGCAGAAGCTCTGGTAGCGAGCTTACTTTCAAGGGTGGCAGTGTGGATGAGGAGGCTGGGAAACCTTCTGAAGGACATGATTTACCCCAGTGAGTGCAGCAGCCAGGAGGCGGCTCCTGATCCCAGCCTTCCTGTGTACTTGCTGGTGGTGACAGGACCAGGGAATGGGAAAATTCTTGGTTTTTTCTGACTCAGCTACAGTGATCATCCTGCCAGAGAACTCTCACGACCTGGCAGAGCTCTCGAGGATTGAGTGACACCCTAACTTCATAACTCCGTTGACCGTAAGGTTCTCCTCATCACCCTGATGAAAGAAAATATTTAAGCGAAAATATTTGGTGATAGCAGCTTTGTTCCCTCCTCCAAGGACTAGGGGGAGTACACTGCTATTGTCTTTCTTTCCTGAAACTTAAATAAGGAAAAAGGGCAAAAGAATGTTCTCCAAGAAGCTACAGGATTTGGGAATGAGTGCTAGTCATGCTTTGTCAGTTTGCTGGAATTAACATACACCCAGGGGATTAGCAAAGCACAATTCAGGGTGTGTCTGGGTGGGTCACGGTGGTGTGTGCTTGGGTACCGTATCTGGTGCCTGACTCCTCTCTGGCACTCTTCCTCTGCTGTGCTTCCTGACCACTGTGCAACAAGAGTATCTGCTCCACCACACCCTTCTGTCATGATGTTTCTGCCTTGGAGCCCACCAAGCATACACAGAATCCCGCAAATTCCAAATTAAACCTCTTCTTTTAATAGCAGGCATCAGGTAGTAGGACCCAGTAATGGAAAAGCTGAAAATGTGTGTTTAGACAGTAAAGCCAGCGGAAAATGACCCTCGGTTGACTGCTCACTATGAAGAGTGCAGGGGCCGATCACTACAGTGGTACCCACCTTTGGTAGCGTGTTGGTTTGTACACTGAAAACACAGTGCCCAACCTGACAACTCATTTAGGTAGAGAACATCTGGGAATAGAAGAATGTTTTTGAGTTTTGTTGCTTTCGTTTGTGGTAGGGGTGCATCTCCTTTAAAATTATGAAGAAAAAAAATGAATGAGATGTTTCCTTTCCTCCAAACCCCAGAGCCTACTAAAGCAATCCTCAGCCTATTTTGAATCATTTTGTATCTAATCTTTAAGACAAAGTACCCTGACATGCTTAAATATTTTCACTTAAACACTGGGATTCTGTTGCAAAGAAATGGGAGTCAGGTTAAGCATCAAATATGTGGCTGGAGGTTGCACATCAAGCACATGGTGGAGGCTGGGGTCTCGGTGAGAAAGTGGACACCGACAGGCCATCTGTTTCTCCCTGTGCTCAAGCTGCCAAGTAGCTTTTTCATTCTCCAGTCAGCTGCATGACTGCAGGGGACTCACAGTCCTGGGTAACTTTCTTTGCCAGTCAGGAGGGGTGTGCAAGCATGAGATGAGGCAGGTTGGGCTCTTTCACTTTCCAGCTTCCTCCAGCATCATCAAACATCAGTTCTCTTTGTCAAAGATTTGAAGCAGGAAAGTCAGCTTACATTTTCCCAATGTGTGCCCTTCTCAAATGAGGTCAGTACAGATCTGGTCTTTTTGGGGTACGGTCAATAAGGAGTGTTGGCTCCTCTCCCCAGGAGTCTGATGCAGGAAGGAGGGAAGACCCCTCTTCTGTTGGGTCGGCAGGCCATTCTAAGGACCCGTACAGACCGCAGTGCAGATGTGACCGGGACAAGTGTGGTAACCATCTGGAGTGGGGAGAGTGGCTGCTAGAGCAGAAGGCCCGTCTCTCTAAAGGAGGAGAAGTTCTGGGCAGTGGTGTGCATCCTTACAGAAATCTAAATGGAAGGCTCCATTGTTGGAGTTTTAAATTTTGGCAAGTAATGTGAATGCTGTAAGAATAGAATACGGCCCCATTGTACCAGTTAAAACAAGTACATCTGTGGAAGGCCAGTTTGTTACTCTCTGTGGACAACCTCAAAATATCTGCCCTAGAGTAGTCTTTAGACAAGAAGAAAAGGTGGGGCAGGGGACAAGAGGTAAAATCCACTGTACAAAGCAGGTCCCACTGGAGGCCTTGGCATAAGGGCAAGCAGAAACTGAGCAGGCAGGCAATCCTCAGTGCCACTGTGGCTTCCAGGGGAGGGAGCCAGTTGGCTCCTCTCCCCAGGAGTCTGATGCAGGAAGGAGGGAAGAACAGGCTCCAGGGTGCTCTGTGATCACATGCTGCACAGCACCCAATGGCAGGCTGTTGCTGGGGAGAGACAGAGTCTCCTATCACAGTGACCTTCTGGGAGGAAGGCCTGCAGGAAGGCTCAGACTCTCCGTTTCCAATAGCAACCCCCTCTCCCCACCACGGCTGGCAGTTCTGAGACTGTGTTCTCCCTTCTGGTGTCTCCTTCCCTTTCTATGCAGTGTGCTTTTCCCGTGTTCCAGCAGGCTTGGTACGTCATTACCAGACGATTATATTAATTAAGGACGCTCTCTGTGTGGTAGAGAAAACTGTAGGTGGGGGGGAAAGGGGTCTCCCTCAAGGGCTACACTATGAAGTGGTATAAAAAGGCACACACGAGGGCTTGTCCCTTCCTGGTCTACCTGCCCAGAATTTTTCTCTAGAAAAGGTTAAGAGGTCACATGTGAGCGGGAATCAGCCTCAGTAAAAGAGAAGCCAGAGATTTAAGAAATGTGTCAGGGTGGGCACATCACAACTATGAGGGGAAGAAGGAAGAAGTGAGGATTTTCTTTATAGAATGATTAGAAACAAAAGATCCATTTAAATATAAGGACACACAAAGACACACACCTGATGTAACCTGTAAAACAGCTTCCCAAACTTCAATCAATCATACACTATCCACAACATTTCTGTCCACTCTCACATCATTCTTCGTAGTGTTTCTATAGTTTTCTTTATGTCACCTTTTTAATAAATATAAACTTACGAAAAGAAAAGGTGATATTGCTGCCCTTAACAAGAAGCCAGTATCACCTGCCATAAAGAGAAAGCAATAAGATAAAACAAAAGAACTACCAGTCGTCACACACATGGACAGCAATCATCCTGAATCCCTCCAGGAATGTCTACACACTTGGGGATCACTATCTTAAGAGGAGAAGTCAGTCCACCTAACAGCCTAACTCTGTTTCTCGCTCTCTGATGAGATGTTCTGTGCTGCCTGGAAAGACACATTTATGTTATACACCAGAAAGCTTCTGTGTCATTGCTTGGGCTCCACTACTCATTTTAGCTAATAGCTCCTTACCTTGAAGGTGTAGGGGTAACACCTGCTGTACAAATAGTAGGTAATAAAGCTACCATTCTAATAGGGTTGACAGCACATGGAAAGTCATTCGCCAAGCTGCAGTATACGTTAGTTTAATCTGGTCCGAAGGATCCAGGGATTTGAGTAAATTCAACAGAGAATCACAGACAGACTTCACCCTTAGGTCTACAGAACTCTAAAGACCAAACTCACCACTTCTTAGACTTCAGCCGAGGTGCTGGGTTCCGGGGGATGAGGAAGAGGGCTCTCATGGGGTGCATGTCACAGAGAGCTGCAAGAGACCACAACAGGGGCCGCTCCAGTTAGGCCAAACCCGCTCCAACTCACTGCCAAATGACTCCCTGAGCCCACAGGGGACCAGTGAGCAGCGGGTCAGAAGATTCAAAAGCTTCCACTTGGCAAGCATTTAAAAGAGCTGACATCTGGTTAAAGGAAGCACACAGTACTACGCCATGCAAACAGCTACTGTGAACATCTTTAGCAAATTTACTTTTACTCTGAGTTTAAGTAAACCAAGTTAAAAGATTCAACACCCAGTTATCTTTGCTATAAATAAGCACCTGACCTTCAAAGTGAACAAGGTCAGATGACAACTACAATGGGAATAGTTATGATATTTTTAGTTAGCAAAATCCTAAGCCACAAAATAAAAGGTATTTGATAACCCAAAAAACTGTTTCTTATACACTGGAGGCTCATCCAAATGCAGTATTATCCACATGGGCTGCTGAAATCCAAAGCACCTCCCTAGAATACCATTCTGTTTCAAGATACCCTGCACTGGCTTTTTCAGGTTGCATGATGGGTCTTTGTTTTGTTTTTAAACTCACTGTCCCCAGGAAGGCCAGAAGATTAAGTCAAACGGAGTCTGGCAGAAAAAAAAGTTATAAAATTATCTCAATTTGTAAACATGCCATTACAGTTTATAGTGAAACTACTCATACTTTCTATTTCAGTTACAATATTTTATTAGTGTACTTCTTAAATGGCTAGAAGTAATTTCCTCTTTGTACCTAGACTGAGAATATATGCTTTCTAGAAGCCAGAGGATTCTGTGGGTAGAAGTGTATTTTCAGCCACTTATACTGCTCATTGCAATGACAATACAGCTCTAAGACTGCAATACATTACTTTTCTTGTTTGTAAATGTCTATTAGCATTGTGAATGAGGGAGCTTTGTCAACACACCCTGTATCAATCATGTTCCAGATACACTGAACCAATTCTAGACATGCAGGTAAGAAGACTACAATAAATGGAAGGTAAAAAGTCATAAGCATAGCGCTCTATCTTTCACAGGCAGGAGTCTGTTTTGGTTTTTCTCATTTGGCAAGCAGACACCGAGGTGGTATTAAACATACAAGAATATCACCGAGGGGACTCTGGTGTGAAGGAAAATAGGAAAGGACCCAAGAAGGATGAGGAAAATCCCACCCTTTGCCCGCGGTGTCCCAGATGGTCCTGCAGCCCACCGCAGGTCAGCAGGCACACAGGATTGCCTGAGGCACTGCTGCCTCCAAAGGAGTTCTGCTCCCAGGAGAGGGTGTGCTGTGGTAACCCTACTGCACACGGCTCTGATGAGGGGCAGCCCTTGAGAGAGACAGGCGTGGCACAGCCACTGGGCCCCTTGTTGCTACTTCCTGCGCAGCAGTCTGTGTGGTCTCACAGCCACCACATGGCCGGTAGAGATGCTCTGCCAGTACAGTGCCAGCACGCCAGACCTCAAGGAGCCCGGGAGAGTCTCGTGACGGCCAGGCTTCTGGCAAGTCTGCTCAAGTAAGAGCAGGAAAATCTGAAATTCTAAATACCAGTATTTTAAGAAGAGTGACAGCAGTTGAATACAAGTGTTTGCATAACCCATGCACTGGAAGTTAGCTTTGAATTTTTATATGGTGGAGTTTATAGCCTTTGTCAGTTGCTCACAGTTTTATGCTAGGCAGGGAGTTCAATAACAAACCACGCACTAAATCTGTAAGACAAACAAGTCTCCCTAAAGTTTGCTTTTTAAATTTTTTTCCTCATCAAAACAAGATCCTTACTCGACTCTACAATGAACCAATTCCTAGTTGACTTAAGATAACTCTTGCTTTCTAAATCCGCCAGCTTGAATCCACACAGGGCTCAATGTGGTGGAAGAAGCAACCGCAGCTCCTGGCAAGGAACCTTTGCGCCCCAGAGCAATCAGCAACAGATGTCACCCGAGAAGAAGGTACTTACGGGGAGCACCTTCTGCCATCTCTATGGCGGTGATTCCCAGAGACCACAAGTCACTCTGAAAAACAAGGAGGGTACACACACATGCATAAATTCAGTCAAGAAAGGGAAACTTGGGTACACCGGATAACTGCTCTAGAACTGCCCAGGGGGAGGAGTCTTGCAGATGTCTGTTACAAACCGATTTCTCCCACTGAGCTTCAAAGCAAAAACAACCTCATCCACCTTTCATTGATAATACTCTATGCTGCCCAACACATGGAATATTTTCAACAAATGTGTGAAAAGTGAACATAGTTTTAAAAATTAATTCATCACTGACACTTGTCAACCTAACCTTACAAAATTGCTACTTGCCTGAGGGTTTTTTTTAGTACCTTTATTGAGCTGTAGTTATCACATGATAAATCACACAAGTGTACTATCCGATAAGGTATGGCAGATATATGACACGTGATATATCCATTGTCCCCCAAAGACCTCATGTGCACCATTTAGTTCTTCCCTATTTCTTGTACCCTCTCTCTAAGGAAATACCAATCTGCTTTGAGTCACTACGGATTATTTTGGGGCCTTGTATAAAAGGAATCATACAATATGTGGCCTTTTGCATCCAGCTTGTTTCACTCAGAATAATGTTTCTGAGGTCTACATTTGTAGTGTATACTAGTATTTCACTCTTTTTATGGATAACTAATACTCCATTGTATGAGGCTGTATCACAGTTTAAGATGATACGTACATTTATTGACAAGACATTTGGATTGCTTCCCGTTTGGGCTATCACATATGAAGCTGTTGCAAACCTTGGTGTATGAGTCTTTGGATGAATGCTTTTTATTATTTCTTTTGGGTAAATACCCCAGAGTGCAACAGCTAGATCATATAGTAGCTGTTACTTATATAAAATAGTTAACCTAAAAAAATCAGCACTTTCATATAATTTAATGTAATCAGACAAGGATGGAGTATGTTTGATGGTGGTGCTCGCTGGTGGATTGTCAGTGCTTAGAAAAGCACTGTTCACATTGGAGGTATACAATATATTTGTAGGTGGATGAAAAAATATCCTTTATCTTTTAAGTAGATTACTGTGCAAAATACAGATTTTTTATATTCTTATATTTTTTCTTACTCAGAATGATATTTAATCTCTGACCAGAATTTGATAGGTCAGTGTTTTCCCTCTTACTGGATAATCTCTGTCTCTAGCAATATGTTCCTACCATTTTGTGTGTTTATGGCTCAGTGGACTCTACACATTGCATAGAGAGGTCAGATCAAAAGATGGAGAAAACCAAGTTAAGAAACCTCTGAAAGATGCTTGCTGCTTCTGTTTTCCAGCAAGTGTTTCAGAAAACCTAATATGAAACTTGGTCCATGGCCCATATCCTGGCATAGACTCTCAGCCTCTTTGCATTTTAAATACTTCATGTGTTTTGTACATTATTCAACACTCTTACTTGTAACCTCACCCAGATTAGAGAGATCAAAGTTAAGTTTCTTTGCTATTTCCATCAAACAAATGCCAAGGGCACATGAAAAAAAGATGTAACTGGAGGAAAACCATGAAATTCATGCTGAGTCATTCTTGAAACTAAATTGCTCATTATCCAGTGAGTGACATCCAGGCCTGTTCAGTGTTTGAACAGAGGCTCACAGAATGTGAAAGGCTTTCCAGGGGGAGTCCAGACCTCTTTCCTAAAATGCAATGTACCTTATAGTAGATGGATGGGCACACGATAGCCTCACTCCAGGATTCTTAGTGGGGATAACAATGCACCCTTACAATACCACCATCCTTGTATTCCAAGTGACCCATCTGCTTACAACACAAGAGAGCAACTCTTGTCCATTCTCTTCATCCAATTTCACGAGGCATTCAAAGGTTTCACAGGACACACATACCCCGGTGCATGCCTCGCTAATGACTTGCCCCACAGGCTCGTGGCCTAGCTTCATGAGGTCATTTCTGGAGCTAATGAGAAGGTTTGACTCACCTGTTACAGGTTGGCTAAGAAGTAAAAATGAAAATACAGCCCTCTTGTGCCTGGGATTTCACGGCTGACAGACAGAGACAATTGTTTGGGGAAATAATGAAAAACAGTGAGTCACTGTGAAGGAGGCGTCAGGCAGGAAACAGTGGGAATAGACTGGAAATGGAGGGCCAGCTCAAAAGGGCCCTGTGCTATTTTGATAAGACTCCAGAGTCATCAGCCCAACCAGCATTTTCCCAGAACCCTTAGGAACTGTGTGTTTCTGAAGCATGCAATAAGGTAACGCAATGGAGGCAGACGCCAGGCTCTGCTCCTTAATGGCCCGAGCGGGGACAAATTTAGGTGGCTGGCAGGTCCAGAAAGCACTGACCTGGAATGACGACCCACACGTTTGCAAGGCAGTGAGGGGGCTAGCATGCAAAGGGCTCCAGGCAAGGCCTTGAACGAGAAGAAGATGCTCCGAAGGGTCAGGCACCTCTCCAGGATGCACACATTGACTGCCTCCCCACCATAGTCATCACTGTTCGAATCCTGGGCTTTCAGTGAGGATCTCTGGAGCCTTCCCACATTCCCATTCTGACGTGTTGTATTTATTTACTACTCATTTATTAGTTTCATGTTTATTCTTTGTATCCCTTGCCTGTAACACACACACACACACACACACACACACACACACACACACACACGTCCTATACAGTATTCTTTTGTTCATTGACATATTCCAACTACCTAAAAGACTGCCTGGCATGTAGTAGGCTCGCAATAAAAACTTGCTGAATGAGTGATCAACAAGTTAAAAGATACATGAGAGAAAGAACCAAAACATGAGTGCAGGGCCTGGGAGTGTCCTTGTAGATATAGTTTGACCTTTTATGTCAGAGCTGAGGAACAGTGGCTCTCTCAAGTTTTTCTTTAATTACCATTGCAGCATAAGCACTTCAGTAACCATATTCACTTTTATTTGGCATCAGGGGCCCATGAAGAGTGGTTCTCGAGTCCTACTTGTCTACAGATGACTGCAGGTACTGGCGAGGCCACGAAGGTGCAGAGATTCACTGAGGTCACTGGTTTTACAGGACAAAACAGCCTCAACTTCTTGGAACAATGCAGGTTCGCAAAAGGAGAACAGGCTTTCAATTAGACAGATTTGGATTCAAACCCAAACTTCAAACTGACCTTCATCAGAACGCTGCTCAGAGCTTAGCGGTGTCAACTGCACAGGAATTGTGACATGCATGTGTTCAGCTGTGCTGCGCAGGTCAACATCCAGCACAAAGTGGGCTCAAGAATATCGGTTTTCTCCTCCTCTCTTGCTGGATATGGTTGCCCGTATCCCTTAACTTAACTTAACTTAACCCTCCACGCTCTCCTGCCACGTGGAGGTGGTGGATACGGTGTCCTGGCTACCGCAGCAGTGTCTGCAGCGCCCCTTTCCAGCACTGCCTCTGCTCTAGGGTCCGGGTTGGTTGCACCCACCCAACCTGGCTCTGCAGTAGTTCAGGGCTGGACAGAGTTCCGGCCAGTCAGACATAAGCAAATATCTTCTAGAAATTTCTGCTTTTCCTCTTAAAAGTTTTTCATGTTGAATATTTTTTTTAGTAGGTGTTTGTAGTACGTAAACATCACATTCATCAGAGAGCTGGTACATAGCATGTCCTAATTCCCTGTAAGGCCCCTTCTCTTACTTACATTCTCCCCTTCATGTCTTTATCTCCTTTTCATTTGTGAAAGAGCCCCATTTCCTATTATCTTTTATTTTGCTCTTTAGTTTACTTATACTGTGGTTTTGCTTATAAAAGAAATCATGCAATATTTAAGCTTGCATGTCTCACTGACTTCACTTAACATTAGTCTTTTTTTTTTTTTTTTTTTTTTTTTGTCTTTTTCCTTTTTATCGGTACCGGGGATCGAACTCACGACTGCCTGCTTGCAAGGCAGGCGCTTATGCCGCTGAGCTAAATCCCCAGCCCCCTTAACATTAGTCTTGAACTGCATCCATTTTCTTACAAATGACTCAGATTTATCTTATAGCAGAGTAGTGTTCCATTGTACATACATAGCACATTTTGTTTATCTGTTCATCACTGATGGACATATAGGGTGCTTCCACGATTTCACCATTACGAGTTGTGCTGTTATAAACATAGGTATGCACATATCTCTGTAATAGTATGATGTTTTTAACTCTTTGGGGAAGATACCTAGAAGGGGAATATCTGGATGGAATGAAAGTTTTACTTTTAATTTTTTGAGTAATCTTCACACTGACTGCTTTCCTTAAAACAGGGAACTCATACAGCTCTTGTCTTGCAACTCAACTCCACTTCTTAGGGCCTTGAATATATTGGAAGCTATAATGTCCATTTTGCAACCATGAGGCAATCAATGAATATATTAATGATGACAGGGCAGAAAGACAGAAGACATCAGTAAATATCATATAATACCCAGACTCTGGAGACAAAAGAAACATAAGCATAGCATTCCTAAGGGATGGTACATATGCAGCAGTAATCGAAAGCGTATTTTGATGGTAGAGAAATGTGGAAGGCTCATTTGCTAGGTGATTCTGGATTTATCCCACAGGAAGCAGGGAGGATCGGTGAAGATATGTCCCTCTTGAGAAGCCTCGTCCGGTCTCCAAATACACCTCGTTCAACCAGAGGCCACAGTATCTCAACTACCTAAGTAGCCCTTGTCAAGTCATTTGACCAGGCCAGTTACTGCTGCCCCCTTAAGTCTTTATTTTGTATCACCATGTTTTGTTGGGGTTATCTTTTTTCCAAAAGGAACATTTATATTTCTGGCCATATATAACCAAAGCTGCTTGTAAGCTATATTTAACAGGCCACGATAGGAAGCCATAAATGTCCTTGACAGGTCTTATTTAAGCCTTTGGATATGTTAGTGAGTCTAAAAGACAATTCAGAACTTAAATAAGGGAAAAAATGCTCCAGTTACAACTGGCAAGACAGATTATAGGAGACCAGAAAAAAGAAGAGGGAGGAAAAAGATAGGAGAAAGTCAGGGAGAGATAAGTTTCCTTCGTGGCCACGGT